TTTTGTTGAATTTGACCCGGCCGGGTTATGAGAACCAATTAATTAAGTTTGTATGGCCTTATACTAAGTAAAATTTTATTTGCATAATTATGTCTGATTGGTCAGAAAAATTTAAAAGTTTTATTCCTATTACCCAATGACACAAACACAAAAATCTCAAAATCTATATCTTAAGTTAAATTTTTTTCATATTGTAAAAATCGATTATCATCTCTATCTCGAAGTTAAAATTAAAGAAAATATATTATTTTTAACTAATTTGAAATACTTAAATTTAATTAAAAAATATACATAGAGTATTTAAAAGTAAAAAATAATTTTTATATAACATCATGAATTATAAAAAAAATTCAAAAGTTTCATCGAATTATTTATCCAAAATAGAAAATGATTGATCATATTAACAGAAATGGTTGTGATAATTGAGATTGTAATCTTAGAAAAACAATACCAAGAATGAATCAATTAAATTGTAAATTGAAGAAAAATAATTCTAGTGGATATAATGGAGTTTATTTTAATGAATATATAAATGCTTGGGGATTTTGGTGGTCTGAAAATAGAAAACAAAAAGTAAAATATTTTTGTATTACTAAATATAGAACATATGATCAAGCGAAACAATTAGTTATAGAATTTAAATTAGCACATGATAAAATTACTGAAAATTGTAATGGTTATCAAATATAAAATAAATAATATTTCTATTCAGTATATTTTATATAAAGAATAGAAATTTAATTACATAACCAAAATAGCAACTCCTCTTGTAAGCAATTTTATCATCAAAACTTCTAGAAAAAAGATAATTTGGCTGTGCTATTTTATTTAGCATATATATGATTCTGAAGTTATGCTGTCATACCAGATTAGAAATTAATTATAAATTCATATCAATATTTTATTTATTGGTATGGTGATAATTATTTCTATTAATCTGGAAGAAACTAAAAGAACGTCAAAGTTACATCTTTGAATAGGGTCTTTTGCAAACATTGATGAATAGGAATCTTTTGCTAATATCTTTTTATTTATATCAGGTTTCCAACTATAAATCTGAACATAATTTTGAAGGTGTACTTCGAAGAATACTTGAATCAAATGTGATTTTGGCCAATGAAATTAAAGTTATACAAGAAGACAATAGTATTGATCTTGTTGCTACATTTAAGAAAAATACAATTTTAATTCAAAATAAAAGTGTTGAATCAGCTATTACTATTAATATTGTACAAGATTTTGAATCAGCAATTTCTTGATACAATAATCTATTTGGATTTATTGTTTATGATAAACAAAAAATGAAATTCAATAATTCTATCACCTCAAAAGCTAAAAAATGGTTGGATCTAGATATCTGTAATCTTGGTCACACCATCTCGAATGGGAGCTTCGGCGTAATAAATCCAGGAAACCGG